CTCGGTTACACGGCGTCTTCTCTCCAATGAACCTCGGTCAGATTGCGGGCTCCTCAGCTAGGATTCCAACCCGCCAACTGGGGATATGATTCTTTGTGCCGGCGGTTTGTCTCGGAGTCACTGATGCGGCCTCCGTGCAGCTATCCGTAACCAAACATTTCCGAGTGGGCAGCGCATACCCACCCCCAACCTACTGCTCGCACCTCGTTTGCGTACCTCGCATAACCGTTTGCAAAAATTATGGTACGAAATGGGAAGCGATTATTGATCGAGCGATCAGTAATGAATAGATCAAACTGGTAGAATCTTACATTTCAAGAAGTTGAAGAAGGTATGTAAAGTTTTGGCTGAATGCTGGCAAGCAAACCTGATGCATGTCTGTTGCACCTATTGGCTGTCCTAATTGAAGTTGTACTAGAAATCTAGTTCGATCTTGATTTCTGTTCTAAAACTTGTCTCCATAAGCGACACTTTAATTATTTATGCCACATTTAGTTCTTTCACTTCAGGCAGCCACTCCAATGCCTGCTGCCAGGCTTGGCGGGCCTTGAGGGCCAAGTATGCAAGGGAGTCCAAAAAACAAAGTGGCCGGAGTGGTGCTGGAAGCGATGATGTTCCTGTGACGACATGGTACGTGTTCAGATATCTCGCGTTCCTCAAGAACCAGATTCAGCACCGACGGTAATATGCTACATTACTTACTGCCAAGAACACGCAAAGTTGATCCCGAGTCTAACACAATTTTACTCTCTTTTATCAGCACCAGAGTGCTCCCTGTTGCCAGGGGAGCGGCATCCACCTCTGCAGCGGCAGCAGAAGCAGAAAAGTCGGGCATGACCCCTAGAGGTAAGTTTGCTTACACGGTAACAAAATCTAGAAGCGATTTGGGATCACCTACTTTCTCCTACAAAGTCTTGTGGTAAAGCAAAAAATGAAGGTCAAGGACATTGTGAAAGACAAACATGCTTAGCATGTCCGAGTGTTGTTAGGAAGGGCAGCATCCCAAGTAGCACAAAATGTGGCTACAACGTTACTGGAATGTTGTCAGGTAACGTTGCCGAACGCTGCTAACGACCGCGGATTCTACACTCCAGTAACGTTACACCACAATGTTACAGTAACGTAACTGCATACGTTACCTGGACATTACCCAAATAATGTTACTGGAACGTTGTTAGATAACGTTGCCAAACGTTGCTAATGGCCACCAGTTCTACCTTCCAGTAACGTCACATCAAAATGTTGCAGTAACATAGCTCTCTATGTTACCTGGATGCTAGATCAGTGATGTTACTCGGACGTCGTCGCTAACGTTGCTAGTTGTTGTTAATGGCCACGAATTCTACCATCCCGTAATGTTACACCAAAATGTTGCACTGACATTACGGCTTACTTAAAAGTGAAGGAATAAAAATGTGAAGAACATACACAAACGACCACTCTTTCATTTCGCAACAAAGTTTATTTTTTGAGGAGCAAAGAGTCGCATACAGGTCGAGATCAACTAGATACCGAAGGTGGAGTGTTACTGACTCATCCCTTATCTCCCTAAAGTTCCTTTGATCAAGCCTTCCTTTTGCAGTTAATCTTGACCTGTGCGCGAGTCTTTGCTTCCAAAAAACGAGCGTCGTAACTAAATGAAAGAGCGGTCATCTGTTCTTCCTCAGTGCTTTTATTCTGTTAACTTTCAGTAAACATTTTTACAATATGCTGGCACTGGCCAGATATTACTGCATGTGTTACTTGGACATTACTGAACAATGTTATCCGAAAATACATTGACAAGCGCTGCCAGGAAACTGCATTTATGGTTGTCATGAAGTCATTTTTTGAGCTGGTGCCTGATATGAGTAAATGGATGTGCATTACAGGCCATTAATGAATCAGCATTTTGAAATCCTAGAAGCAGGACTCCGGAAGAAAACAAGAAGTTATTGGAATAAATTTATTTCAAAAACGAAACCAACATTACAAGTACCAGAGAATTCTTCTGTTTCTTACAAGCTATTAGATCTACAAAATTGTAAAGAACACACTAAATCACAAGGCTGATCTGCATAAAAATAAAAATGTAAAATATTAAAACTTCCAGCAACATAAAGCAAGTAGCCTAAAATAAAATTCTAAATGTATCTCAAATTACACCCGATCTTGGGCTAGGACCTATAAATAAATAACGGAGGCAATAAACCAAAAATGACTAGAAAAAGAACATAAATTTTAAATCTTCTAAAAATACCACACTAATGTGTACATAAATTAAATAAAAGAAACCACTAGCTGGGGCTAAAATGTATGCATGAATAGAAATTAAAGGTAACATATGCATATTACAAATTGACATAAAAAATTCAAACAACAGGGACTCTACTCATGGGATGGCTGTAAAAAAAAAGAGAAAGAAATCATTAGAAAAAAAAGCATTTTAAATGATTTAGGTAGCATGAATTTTTTTTTTCTTTCAATTCTATGCATTTAGCACGGTTAACCAATTACATGCTTCCAACTGGGATCAAAGTAACCAACTACTAACATTTAAAACTAACAGAAAAATCAAGGCAGAAACATGCTGAAAAACAGCGCAAAATGCACGGATAAGAAAACACACAGGACAAGGCACTGTGTGTTCTTTTTCCTTTGTCTGGTTTTCGCACCGTTTTTCAACATGAATTCTTACCAACTAGCCCAGCCCAACTGTCCATCCTTGTAATCAGAAACATGCTTGCCTTCTCCCCTTGTGGCAGCCCCTCAGTCACTCTTGAGAAGAGGCACACTGCTCCTGCAAAAAAATAACACAAAAAAGTTGGTTGCATTCAGAAAATGGGTGCCTATTTCAGGGCAGAGAGTGTCATCAAGATAAAAAAAGAAATGCCTACATCTGTCCTAGCAGTTTCACCACAGTTTCTTTGCATGCACAAGCCATTCTTTTCATCCAGTTTAGACTTTTACCGCAAAGTGTGACCTACCCACAGAAGACAGTGGACACGCGACTTATTCTTTTCTGGCAAGGTAGGCGGCTGTTCTCGGCCGCTCACTTTTTCCCACTTCAACCTTCTATTTATTCATGCGTGAAAGGCACTTTCTTAAGAGGGAAACAGCTATTTTACGCAGCGCCTTTTTTATTTTGTATTTGTAGATTTAACTTTGTTTTCATTTTATCCTAAGAGAATAGCTTTCTTTTTAAGAACATAGATGTTCTTAAAAAAGACGTGCCTGCCCTCTTCGTCAATTTTTTGTAACCGACAGAACCGTGGACCTGTCGGATCTTTGACATGCAGTATATTACTGTATGTCGAATATCCGGCAGGTCCACGGTTCTGTCGGTTATAAGAAATTAACAAAAAGAGGAGACACGTCTTTTCTTTTCCCCGTATCATGGGCCACGGAGACAGATCACTGCCTCAAGGACGGCTTCGTCTTGAAGCAGAATAGGTCTCCTCAAGGACGAAGATATATATACGCTTTTGAATGGACGTGCATTCATCACTGCACCTGATGATCACAGCTTTTAAAAGTGTCGTTAGTGTTACCGTGCCTTATTGGCCTCATTAACAGAAGTCATCATTTACTAAAAAAAAAAGAATAGAAGGTGACAAAAAAAGGTTCCTTCCTTTTATATATATATAAGTTTATAAGTTACAATAAATATTAAAACACTGCTATCCTCCCGGCACTAAAAAGAAAAATATTTCTACTGCTCAAATAGGCTACGTTCAATGAAACAACTTCGATGAAATGGCGTTCAATGAAACAGCGTTCGATAAAACTGCGTTCAATGAAACAGCTTCGGTAACATCGGTAACTATGAAATCAGCCAGGGTGTCTAGCAAATTCCTCCTTTTAAGTTCCCCAGCTTTTCCAGGTTTTAAATTCCCTGTCGATTACAGAAGTTTGGAGATGTGGTACGAACTGCTACTAAACACCTCATAAGTGAACACCACTCACAATTTAAAACAATTTATTGAAATCGGTCTTTATGTTGCTCAAGAAGTCAAAGACTTACAAAGTTTCGGGCAATGTTATTTAGCACAGCCACGTCAATGCAATAAAGATTTAAATGGAGATAATATTGGACATGTGGTTTTCCTAGATGATACTGAAGAAGCCTTTGTTTTCTCTCACTAACAAAAATGAGACAGAGTCTGCAAAATGGCGGGCCCTTGCGCACTGCCATCTTCCAGCTCGGGTGCACCCCAGATAATCCGATTATGAAGGCTTGCTAAAGCGTCACTAAGCTAATTGACAGATTGGTACCCTGAGAGCACGTTTCCCTACCCATGTTGGCTAGACTACTTTTGGAAACATGACTGCTTGCAAACGTGTATAGCTGATTGTGTCATTCAGCTATATGGTAATGTACCTTACACCAAAGAGTGCTCGGTGGTGTAAAACAAAATGTACCACCTTTCTTTAAGAAGTGGTCAATCCTAAAGCTGGCCAAACCATTCTACATATAAAGCAGAGGACAGGTTCATAAAAAGTGCTAGGGTTAGAGTGCACAAACAGCAAGCATTCTAATGTATCCTTTGACCAGAAAGCATAGATAAATAAACAAAATAAATTAAATTGTAAAATAAAAATGACTTGTACAGCAGAATTATGCAAACATGAGGTTGCAGCAATACAAAGCAAACATATGCACCGTCAAATTAAAAATATCCACTTCACCGTCCCTTAGGCTATAACTGTCCTTGTGCGAGGAAGCATACCACAACTAGCAGCTTTGTAAATTAAAAATGACTAGATAAAGAAAATGAAAGCCGTTTACAACTCCCTGTAACGCTAAATTAGAGTGCAGCTCTAGAGGAGGAGGGAAGGGTCCCGAGGAAAGGGTATACCCCTCCTCCCTGCCACACCCCCCTCTGAGCGGCGTCGCCGTAACCGTGAGGTCACGTGACCCCGCGAGGACAATTAGGCATGGTGCCGAAACGTCACCTTGCCGAAACGTCGCCGCGGTTACGGCGACGGCGACACCACTCAAGCCGGAAACCGGTGCCTAAGAGCTGCGCTCTAAAAGAAACACCAAAACAGCAGGTGCTCAATAAACAATATGGATACCATTCATTATCACAATTGCGGCTAACCAAGCTGAGGCTAATCACATAAAATAAAAAATCTAAATGCTGGAAAGCGTTAAGAAATTGCAGCAACAAAAAGCAAACATACACGTGTGCGTTTTTGCTTGGGCTCTGGTGCACGTTCTGGAAGTTGAGGGGCTGGCTGAGTGTTACGTCGTTCCTGCAGAAGAGGCAAGCTTGATGAAAAAGGAGGGCAAATGAATCCCGAATACAAAGGTGTTGCAGAAATTTAGGTGCATACATCTTGGTCATAGAAGTCCTCATCCTCAAATGAAGAAAGAGTATGCTGCAGTCTCTTCCTTTTTCTCTTCTCCCGCTCTTCATTATTCAATGTTAGGTCGGACGTCGCTTCCGAATTTTTTTTCTTTGTACTTTGCATCTTCATATGTCACTGAAACAAGAAAGCCGAGCACACCAGTCAAATGTTTAACCACCAGAAGCTTGTTTGCACCCTAAACTTTTGTTCATTAAATCAAATATGTTCGCTTTATGGTTAGACAGCTTTTAGGTTAAAGCCTGCCAACTTTTTCGGGCTCATGTATATAATCTGTGAGGATTGGGCCAGCTCAGGTTTATATTAAAGAAAACAAAAATTTTGTCGGGCTCGTGCTGGGCTCAAGCTTCTGTCTAAAAGTCTGTCAGGTCCGGGCCAGGCCCGAGCCGTGTCTCTTCAAGGTCAAGTCTGGCCGGGCCCGGAAATTAAATATTCTATTAGGCTCGGGCCAAACCCGGGCCGTGCCTCTACTGGGCCAGGTCTAGAAATTCTGGCTCGTGCAGTGCTCTAGCACACTCTACATTGGGTGAGCAGAGTCCGCGCTCCGCTCTAAGCAGAATTTATTGCCTATTTCTCTGCCCCAAGGTTCACAACTCTTTGCTCAGGGCACTCAATGGCATTTCCGGCTCATTTTCCATGACTGGGCTTGATTTTTGACAATATCCCTGATTTTTCCCGGTAATTAAAATTTCCCTGACAATTCCCGGTTGCTAGACACCCTGCTATACTTACAACATGATGCCATCACCTGACAGGAGAATGTGGCCCAGTCAGTCGAGGGCTCTTCACGCTCTCTAATTGCCATCATCAACCGATTTGATTTGTAGGGTGGCCATGCCGTGCAGCCATTGCACACCCAACAGGTGGGGACAACTGCGACATCATTTTCCGCCAAAAAATGGACAAGAGAGTACATTTCCTGAAATCAACAAATAAAGCCGTTATTACCTTAAAGACCAGTCATAAGTCACTAAAAATACAGTTTTCGAATTAAGCACAACCAATGTACAATAGTTGCAAACATAGATCACACTTGCAAGTGAAGTAGATAAAAAAACAGCATAGCCCTGGTTATCGAAAACATAGTCAGAGTGCAGGCGAGCTGGTGTAAGTTGAACATGATTGTAAACCTGAGACTGGGGCAGAAAAGAGAACACAGCAGAAGGTAGAAAAAGGGGAAACAACGTCTCAAACTCAGCTGCAAAGTTTATTTCGTACACGCCTTATATACCACAACTCCAACGCCGAATGGCGGTGGTTACGCTAGAATGTGACTCTTTGTGTGAGTGTTTCGCAGGAGAGGTCAAGGGAGATAAGAGAAGGCTTACCCAAATTTCATTGTCCTCTTGTCATATATTTTTTTTTGTAGAGACAGCGTTGGAGTTGTGGTATATAAGGCGTGTACGAAATAGACTTTGCAGCTGAGTTTGAGACATTGCCTCCTCTTTTTCTACCTTCTGCTGTGTTCTCCTTTCTTTCCAGTCTCAGGTTTACAATCATGTCCCTGGTTATAGTGCAAGCAGACGCACTTCCACCTGATGTCCTGCACACTCCCCACTGAATACTGCATGGAGAGCCCTGTAGCTCTAAAAATTCCTAGCACTGATGATGGCAGCTTTGAAGTATAAAGGTTGCCGAGATTTCGGAAAAACTGTCCGCAGATGGTACGGTTCCCATCTGACTCAATGAAGTTCCTAACAACAGTAATGTTGCCATACTTCAGTTAACACAGTTGTCGGACGCCTTCAGAGAGAAATGAGCTCCTTCTAAAACAAGCTCACTGCACTGGGTTTTCTTGAAGCTTGGCGGCTCAGCCAAGCTTCTCGAGCAGAGCACACTTCTGTTGCACAGAACTTGACACGGTGGTGGGATTCACTTCTGAGTGCCTCTTGATAACCTGCTGCAGTGCCAAGGAAGGACCCCTCACCAACTTCTTGAGCTTCCCAAGGAAGTTCTCAAAGGGAAAGGCCGAGAAGGTGTTGACAGGGCCGAACCGTCGAACGTCTTGTCAGGTGGATCAGGGAGTGCATGTTGTAGACATAAACCCCCTCATACAAGGTACCAGCTCCAGAAACAAACTCTCTCAAGAGAGATTCTGCAAGATCACAGTGTGTCAAAGAAAATTTGGGGCTGGCTAGGATTGTCATAACACAGCTCAGCTTTATGAAGTGTCCATAAAAGCGCTTTTCCAAATGGTTTCTAAGGACCACTGGCCCGGAGGATGTGATAAGGGGATAAAGGAAAGGGGGTTTTGAAGGCCGGGGATTTTGAAGAGGGGGAGGTAACGCGGGGAATTCGCAGCGGGGATTTTGACACAGGTGTTCTGAGATTAGGTTATTTCGTGCACCACTCGTATCACTCGACTCAGATTCACACTCGGAAGCTCGTTGGTATTCAAACTGTCCGGAAAAACTTGCATGTGCTGCCACGGCCTGTTGTCCAGGTGAAAGAGGGTATGCTTCCTCAGTGTCCACCGACTCCTCACTGCTCGTACCGCAACTTTCAAGTTCCTTGCGAACACTTTCGGCTACTCTACGTCTTTTTTGGCGATCGGATAGCTCTGATAGCGAACGCTTCGCCCGCACCATCGTTCAGCACAAGTAGTAACAACAACGAAAATGAAACATACCTTTGTTTACGTTTCCTCCACGCCGAGAGATCGGCAGAGCGGTCCCAGCGGTCCGATGAAACAGGCCTTGACGGTCCGTTGACATACGGTCACGTGGTCAACCTGGCTTCGACCTTGCTTGGCTTGAGATACTTGCACTCTTGGCGACCTTGCTTGGCTTGAGCTACTTGCACTCTTGGCGTCTTGGCTTGTCAACAGTGTGCGTAAACGAGTAAACGACTAAACATGAAGTTTCAAGTAGGAATAAACTGTGTAAATTTATCTGACAGTACTAAAATAAGTTTTTTTTAAGAGTTATAAAACATTACATCGATTGGAGAAATTGGAAATTGGTATAAGCCGTACAGCCATAACCGTAATGCCGTACTAGTGTGCAATCATGGCGGACGATGGCGATCTTGCAACGTCTTGCAGTGATCAGTTGATGACCTCTACCGTAATATCGGTAACGATAGTGAACTGTTAACATGGAAACGGTAGTACCGCAGCTATGCGACTGTGCTGTGCCATTGTGATGTGTCCAGATAACAAATGCAGGCAAAGAGTGGTCCACGCAGAGCGAGCTTCGAAGCCTCAAGCTCAAATATGTTCTCGTGTCGACGGCTTTTTGGCGAGAAGTGAACGGGGGCTAACAATGTGTGTGCGATTATACTCGTTTCATTATAATTAGGGTCCATATTAGATGAGCGAATGACGTTTTAGCAAACAGCGGCATTTGAGCGAATCGAGGTTTTAGCGAATAACGGGGGCGCGCGTTAACCCACCCGCCGCGCGGCGAGTCTGCGGCGGCTCATTACAAAAATGTGAACCCACTTGGCCCACCCGAAAACTCCGCTTCGCAGCGTCCGAATTTTCGCTAAAGTGTCATTCGGTGAAACGTGGACATTCGCTAACACGTCACTCGATAAAGTGAGTGCCTCCCCCCTTGGGGCCCTTCATTTTGAGTGGTCGGCGGAGTGCGTCCTTGTATCCGTGGCCCTTGATGCTAGATCTCCTTCCTACCTTCCCCTCCCCCCCTCCCCCCCTCTCACTCACTTTTCTTTAATCTCACCCCATTCCCGTCCCATCTCTCCTATGTTGCCTTCTCTAACCTTTCACTCCTCATTTCCTCGCATGATTTAATGTTTGTGGCCCCCCCTTCCCCCCCCCCCTTCCCCACCTTCATAGGATTATATGTTCGTTGCCTTTGACCTTTGATCTCGACTTCGGACCCTTGACTGCTCCTCCTCGCCATCTCCCCTTCTATCTCCTCGGTCTCCTTATTCCTCCCTCCCCTCTTCCTCTACTCTCTTGTCCACCTTCCTCTTCCCGCTACCCATCCTACTCATCTTTCCTCCCCTCTTCCCCCTTCTCTCTCGTTTGAGTGATTCTATGTTCATGGCCTTTGACCGTTTCTTTTTTGGTGGCAGCTGCATATGGCTCTTCATTTTGAGTGGTCGGGGAGGTGTGACCTTGTGTCCATGCAACCGAGGCCTATGACCTGCGATGTTTCACGTCTTACCTGGCGCCACCCCGTCCCATCTCCTCATTCCCCTCCACTCCTTCTCCCCCATTGGTCTCATATTCCCTCTGTGTGCTCTTCCTCCCCTCTTTCCTCTCTCCTCCGTCTGATCTTGCTCCTCCCTGCCCCACTTCTCTTCATCTTTCTCTTCATGCTCCCTCAGCCTCTCATCCTCATTCCCCTTTTCCTTTTGTCTCCTCTCTTCCTTGTGTGAGCGTGTGTTTTTGGCCTTCGACCTTCATACTTGACCTCTTTCTTCCTGCCTCTATTCTCCTTCCCATCTCATCGCTCACCTTCCCCCTCAACCGTCTCCCTTTTCCCCTCCTCTGTCTATGAGACAATGGCTACCGCCAGTCGTCTTACTTGCAGTGTGCTGCAATGCGCCGCCACTTTTTGAGTTTTCCGAATAGAGTGCTGAGCTGTAAATTGGACTGAAATATGAGCTTCTGCATGTAACTATTTCAAATTTTCAACCAGGGTGTATCTTATACTGCACGCTCCAAGATTTCTCTAAATCTCTATGGCAAGCACTGGCGCAGACAACCGAGACAGGGCGAGAGTTAGAACCACCCAGTCGCTCGATTTGACCTGAGTCCGTCGTGAAATTAGTCCTCGCTTCTATTTTAAATAGTAGAAATCATTTTGCAGCAAGCTCGGGTTGGATAGAGCAGTCGGTCGACCCCAAGAGCTCTCTGCGACCTGGCCGTAGGGTAATCATGTTCGTATTTTTCACAGAAACAGAGCTACGCTTCGAAAATAACGCAATAGAGCACACAACTAAAATACACTTTTGGTGATAATTTTAGCTAGCTACGTGTTCAAAATTAATTTACAGGTTACGACTCTCATGCCATCCTACACATGTTCGGGAGGTCTTTGGGTCGTCGCGTCACCAGCGTGAGTTTTCCACCTTTGATAACACAATAACACCCCATGACTTCACCCTCTTGTTATCTTTAGCATGCGTTCCAAAAGCTGGACATTCGAATGACCTTAACCTAAAAGCTATGATGAGGGTGCATGCTAGCTCGTGAATATTGAGCAGACTCGCCAACCCGTTAAGGGGCAGGAAGGAAGCAAGGAAATGCCATACACACAAATGAATTCAATTTTATCATAAACCTTTTGGACAGATATTTTTTTAATTTTCTGCAATCTTTCCAGGGTACATTTTGAACATTTGTTTCAAACACGCCCGTCACAAGCATTAGAGCGGTCTTTCTGTTTGTAAAAAAATAAAAATGTCTGAACAAGAGAATCAACATTGAACTATTATAAGTTTGGTATCTTCGTGTATCCTTGACCAGCCTCTGTGTGATGTGGTGATGCGTCACATTTTGTCACATTAGGCCAACATCGCTGCATAACATTGCCCGTATGTCAGGATGGAAATGTTACCGAGAGGTTATTTCTAAACGTTGCTCCAATGTTGCTTCTCTAACATTCCTGGAACGTTTGCCTATGTGATGTAACGTTACATGACGTTCAGTGACAGTCAAACAATGTTGCAGGAGAACGTTTCTGTTACGTTAGTTTTCAAACATTGCTATAACATACCCAAATGTGCCCCAACGTTACATTACATTTGTGACATTCCAGTCACGTTATGGCAACATATGGTGCTACTAGGGATCTTGCTTCCTTCCACTCACTGAGCTAGATGCCATGTTGACAGACGTTTGCCCCATGTCATTCTATGTGCGGAGGCAGTGTTCTCCAGCTCACTTGA